TTCTGGGAGTTGAAGTCCACTCATCTTAAAGTGGCCAAGTTTGGATAACACTAGACTAGGTGTTTTTGTCATCCTCAAGACAAATATAGTAATGTGGTAAGAGTTAACCAAGGGATTGACAGTATGATGCTACTCTTGTGTGGGGTGTTGAAAGACATCTCAGAGCTGGATCTGAAAACAGCTTGAGATACAATAGCTTTAGAAATGAACAAGGAGCACTTATTGGTTTTAGGTTGGAAAACCTGTCAACGTGGCCTTTCCCACAACTTCCACAGAGAAATACAGAGTTTTTCATTACACTGACCTCACTTGAGCAACTGTGGATTAGCATAATGGAAAAAAGCCTTATGTCGATGGCAAGACAGGAGAATTGCTATGGGGAAAAAAATCACACAGGACTCTTCGTGGTTGTAGCAGCCATCAGAACCTGAAATTCCTACAGTCACACCAAATTCTGTTGTGTGAACTGTTGCTGTCACCAAAACTTTATCAAAGACCACAATGTTCATCTTTATTTTGTGTGACCTATGGAAGCATATTCCTGTCTTCTGGTATTCTTTTGTGCATGTGGAAAGAAGGAAAAAGAAAAACTGATGGCCAGTAGAAAGGCCTTCCACAAGTATCCAAGTTACCCTGGAGAGAAAACATTCCTCACTTCTGCATACGCCAGATATGGAAATGCCAGTCTCTGGATTTTCTTTTAATCAAATCAAAGCAAAAACCTGATATAGTACTAGGCCTGCTGGAAATGTACTGTTTTCTCTGGTTGAAGAAGTTTACGAACAATTGTTCCAGGTGTAAGAATGAGACAGTTATAACAAGAAAAGGAGAAGTCCGCTTAATCTCTGATGCATAACTACTACAGATTACATGAAAAATCTCACTGCTTCATTTCTATTTTTAAAAGTCTCATATAAAATTTCAGGAACTAGTAAGACCATTGTAGCAGAACAGCTAAGCCTGCAGAATAGAAGGCTGGAAGTCTCAAACCTCCTCTCCTAGAAAATCTCTGAGTCTTCATACTCTAGCCCTGTCTCCTACTTTGGGAGATACTCAATCTTACAAGAGATAGACAAAATAAAATTTTATTTTAAAAAAGAAGAGAAAATGTAAAACCTGTTTAAACTTCAAAAAGTCACTGTTAATAAAGATAAATGACAGAGCTGTTCCAATCAGAGACAGCAACTTAAAAGAGAATTACAAAAGCAAAAAAAATGGTCGGGGCGGACCACAAAATGGTGGTCTGCCATAAGTGTCTCGTTTCCAGCCAGAACCTGAGAATTACAGGAAGATTCTATAGAAATATAACTTCATGCATCCAATCTGAAAGAATGCAGGCTGAGATTTAAACATCCAATTCTATAATTCATACAGAGAAATAAATATAGAAAGCAACACATACAGGAAAATAATCTTAATGTAAATTCCTGGCTAAACTTATTAATTTTCGTGTTGTGCATCAGTTATGCCCCTTCCTGGATCAGGAGTCCCTCTGCACAGTCACTCATGCACTGGTCACCTCCCATTTGGATTACTGCAATGTGTTCTACATGGGGCTACCCTTGAAAAGTATTCGGAAGCTATGGCTGGCGCAAAATGCAGCGGCGTGGACAGTTTAGGGTGGCACATACAACACCTCTGTTACATGAGCTGCATTGGTTGCCGGTTTGCTTCCGGGTCCGATTCAAGGTGCTGGTTATTACTTTTAAAGCCCTTCATGGCACAGGACCAGGTTATCTGAGGAGCCCTCTCGCCCCCGTTATATCTGCCCGCCCCATTCAGTCTGGCAGAAGGGGCATGTTGTGGACCCCACCAGTCAAGGAATTCCTGTTGGCGGGGTCTAGGAAGAGGGCCTTTTCTGCCGTGGCCCCTGCCCTGTGGAACAGCTTGCCACCTGAGGTGTGGGCTGCCCCCACTCTCCTGGCCTTCCAAAAAAATGGAAAAACATGGCTATGCCAGATGGCTTGTTGGAATTGGCTGGTGGGATGATTGATACCTATCATCTTGGAGTGTATATTGCCTTTTTATACAGAATTGTTATTTGTTATTTTAAGGTGGCTATTTATATTTATTGTTTTTATTGTTTTGGATTTTAATTGTAAGCCGCCCAGAGTCCCCCTGAGTTGGGCGGCACATAAATGTAATAATAAATAAATAAATAAATAAATAAATAAATAAATAAATAAATAAAAAAAACTTTGGAATCCCTTGAAACAGATTCTGCCTGAGATGAGGACGGCTTTTCTGTGTCTGACAGGAGGACTGGCACATAGGCTACTTTACAACCACTATCCACATGTAGGCTGCAACTTCCAGTTGTTTTTGAACACCAAACATACAGAGGCATTATTGTTGTAAGGGATTCCAAACCTTCCTCATGGAAAAATAAGGACATTGCCTTATTATTCCGGGAAAATGGCACTCCCCACTCTGCCTTAACCATTAAGTCATTGCTTTAAGAATTGCTTCTGAATGTCAGGTATATACAGAACTTTAAATAAAATGAACTGGGGAAACACTAGATAATGAACTTTCAGCTTCCCTGCCTGACTACAATCGTTGCATCTTCCCTGTTCTTCCCTCGGCTCTGCCGATAACACCCTCTCCGTCCCAAGTGCTGTAGTATTCTTTTCCTTATAAGTTAGAGCGAGAAGAGGTACATAAGGCAGCCTTTTCGCAGATGCATTTCCACTTTCGATAAACAAATGTGGTGAAAGTCTCAGTAGGAAACCATCCTGCATAAATATATGTCCCCTCCAAACAGATGTCCTAGCTGAAACCCTCCTTCCTCTGATAGCCGGGGGAGGTAGGAGTTGTAGTCTATTATACCTGTATAGAACTACAGTAGATGAATGTCTGTTTGTTTGTCTGTCTATCCCTCCCTCCCTCCCTCCATCGCACGTAGATAGATGGGACCATCAGGGAGATGGGAGGACTCTTCAAAATATATTGTGTTGGTGTTTACATTTTACAGTATTCTATGGAAAAACCAACAGTGGTCCACACTTAGCCGTGCAGATTTGATCTAAAGACGCTTCAAAGCAGCCCATGCTATAGAACAGGAACCCATTCCCCAGATTATCCTTACCAGATTGATCAGCCTCCTCATGGCATGCTCATGCGAGCAAATACATTCACAGGGGTCAAAGCCGCCTTCTGCCATGTTATTCAGATGGACCCGGACTGTTAATCCCTAGAAAGACAGAAAAGTTGCTGTGTTAGCATATTTTGTCATTAAAAAAAACCCTACTCGTTCTCATTTGATCTAATACGGATGTCCAAACAATTGTAACACTACTCTATAAATGAAGGACAGAGTTACATCAAACTGAACCAAGGGAATGGGGCTTTACTACATGTAATAAAAAGTTTCATCAGGACTTTGGCTGCGTTGTTTGGTCTTCTCAGAAGCCCAACAAAGCTTCATCTCTAATAAGTTGGGTGACTGGTTTAATAAATAAATACATAAATAAATATTTAACTTGAGGACTGCATTCTCTTTAAGCCTGTTTGGGAAAGCATAACCTTAGGTGGACGGCAAGGTTTACCAGAGAGTTACCATAATAATCTTAGGAAGATAAATAAATAGACAGATAGATCCAGTATATAATTACTACTAAACAAACTGTAATTTTAAAAAAATTCAGTTTCAGAGCAGGAGGTTTAAACTGCATCATCTTTGATACTTGTATCTCTTGGGGATAATAAAATTGGGCTTTTTGCAGCAATGCTGTCCAATCAAATAACAACTCAGCATAAGACCCCATTTCTTTGACCCAGACTGTGCCATGAGACGTCTCCTGCTCTGAGCATCCTTTCCTTTTACAGATCTTAATGGCTGAAGCTGGGAGGAAAAAGTTGGCACAGCGGTTTTACCACAGCCCAATGCACCACTCAGATACCCTGGATTACAACTCCACTCATACCTGGTTCATATAATTCTTACCCAGGACTGCAGGGTGTCATCCAGTAAATAACTCACAACTATCCACAGAAGCGGCTCTCTAGGGCTCTGTTAGCCTAATGATTTGCTTTGTTGCCCCAAGACCGAAAAAGGGGGCAACAGATATCTACTAGACCAGTGCTCCTCAAGCTTGGCAATGTTAAGGTGTGTGGACTCCAACTTGCAGAATTCCCCAGGCAGCATGTACTAGACTAATGAAATGCTTTTGGAAATTTAACTCAGTGGACGCCACTGACCCTGTTCTTAACTTCAGAACTCCATCCCTTCATTCAGCCTCGGTATTGTTTCTTAAGAAAGCCTTCCATCCTGCATTCCAAGATACTTCCATGCTTACATTATGGAAGACAGCTTGAAAATAAGGAAGAGCAGATAGAAAAGCCCACCTGCCTCCATTTTCTCAAGGAAAACCAATACCCCTGCCCATTTTAAAGATACATTATTGGGGGAGGGAGGGGAAACTTGCCCTTTCAGATAAATGCAAGGAAATGCATCTCTAGGACACAGCTTCAGCTAACTTATACAAATGACATTTGTTAACTTTTTTCAACGCAAAATGATCAAAAATAAACCCAGGATGTTCCTGTACTCTGTAGTTTTTCTGCGGGAATTTGCTTAGGAATAGTCAATGCCTGATTTTACTCATGTAACAGAGGCCCCAAAGAGATATTAGGAAAAGTACATCCAAGTGACATGCCATTATAAAAATTATAACAGAACACTGCTTTCAGGTTGTACCTATTTAACGAGAAGAAATCCTATTTTAGATTTTAACAAGCAACAAAATCCTAACTCTTTACCGGATGTTTCCTGCCACACCTGTTTAACTAGTATAATATTACAAAAGAACTAAGGTAAATACAAAATGGGAACGCAACATGGCAAATTTTATTGTGCAATAATTATTCATATAGATTATGCCATCTAGATGTCAACATTTTCTCAATTCATTCATAATTCCAAAAGTCATTTTGTGCGGAACATTATTATTTGTAACGAACGAAATATTGTGGGCTTGTTTTCTACTGTTTTAAAACAGTAGTAGTCTAGCAAGTGTTAAACAAGGTGGTCAACTTTTTGGTACTTAAAGGCTGCTTTTTCATTATTGTTTCTGGGTTATAATCTAATGGCACTCTAACATTGCTCCTCAACAGCAGAGAATTATGTTCTAAGGTCTATAGTCAGATTGTTTGAGACTCGTCATCATATAAAAAAATTACAAAAATCAGACTTGATAATACAAATTGAGGAATTATGCCAGAAACATCCCATGTATGCTGTAGGGTACGATTCCTGGTGGAACACAAACTACATTTCAAGCAAGATGTTAGTCGTTCTTGACTGCAGAAACCTAACTGAAAATCACAGACACTGAGAATAACTGTAATAAAATAATGAAGCATTATCAGCAGCTTTGTTTCAAAATGGATGTTTGCTTTGCAAATACTATATACCACAGCTGCCAAATATATAGATGAAAGTAGGAAATGAGAAATTTCCCATAAGACAAAACAATCTTTAATTAAAAACAGTATGTTATGGTAAGACAATGCAAATTATTTGGTCATGGGGAAATGTATCTCACAACGTTGCTTATGTTTTAATACCCTGCGCAGTGAAGTGTGCCAAAATATATTTATACCATGGTTGCAATTATGAACCAAGCCAGTTTTAATTCTACTGATATGAAAACAGGACTGAAATCATTAGGGTTTTGTCCTGACCTCCTTGTAAATAACAGCTTTGGACAGAATGATACAGTGAATAGACCCCGAAGGCCTTTTCCACTCATGCCCTCCAGATACAGGTCCCACCTTTTCCAGGAAGGATCACCAGGCCCCTTTTTAAATGCTCACTTGTGTTCTTTTGCCAATTTATCACCAGTCACAAGTGAATTACTAACTGGATCTCTTCCTTTTTTAAAAACTAGACTCAATTTGCATTTCAGCACAACTAATAATTGGATGCATTTCAGCACTGAGCATACCGCTCTTTATAGTAAAATCGTCCTCTTCTGCCTACCAGAACATCAGTATTATCAAGATCCAGACAAAAATGCTGGTCAATCTTTAAGGTATCTATCTCTCTGTCCATTTCTCTGTCACATATGCACATACACACATACACATCCAGATGTGTCCACATCAGACAATTCCTGCATGTCCTAGTCAATATAAAAGGAAATTATTCTGGGAAGTGTCGTTCAAAAACTCTGGAGAGAACCAACTTTTTTGGATCCATGGGTGTTTACAGAAGGGCAATTCATAATAATATGCACCAAACCTCTTTTCTGATCTTCCCCTCTCAAGTGCAAGTGGTAATCATTCTTCTCCTTCCCCCCCAGCTGGTTTTACTGGATTTTTTAAATCTATAACTGCTAGCATTTCCTGTAACCAGTTTCAAAGGGACCTTTTATCATATGTTAATTCCAATCTTCCAAAGGAAGGAGTGCCATTACTGATATAGTCAAAATGGCACAAAAATGGGAGTAGGGGAGTTAAGTACAAAAGTCCTTCCAGGAATAAAATGCAATGGGAATTGGGGGGGGGGGGGTACCCAATGAAAACAGGAAAAGACGGGGAAGGGGAGGGAGGAACTC